AGAGAAAAAAATGAGAAAAAAAATGAATTAAAGCTTGCCCACTGCGGTGCTGATTCTCCCTGAAGCTTTTAAAGCTTTGTTAAAAACTTGCATGTCCCTGACGTAACACGACATAACACGTCTCATTTAATTCATTTGAGTTCATTCCTTGTTATACTAACATTGTGATGGGTGCCCCACGCCCCCCCCCCCCCCCCCCCCCCCCCCCCCCGNAGCCAAGGAACGTAGCCTTTAATTCAGTCCCAAGTAGGGGATGAGGGCTTAGGTTGGTGAGATGATCACCTCGTGCGAGGAGAGAGAAAAAAAATGAGAAAAAAAAATGAATTAAAGCTTGCCCATTGCGGTGCTGATTCTCCGGCAGCGTCCGTTGCGCGCGCGCGTCCGTCAAAAGTAGATCGCCCCGCCCACTTCACGCGCGGCGCGACTCACTGAGCTCCCGAGATGATATTACAGTAACACCACTTGTCAATGGAGCGAGTGATTTGTCCGTGTTATCTCTTCTCTTTGAGCTGACTGCCGTGAACCGAACGCAGTTCGTATGCCCCATTGACAACTGCGACATTTGTCAAAGTTCGCGAGCTGACTCGCCGCGTGTGACGGCTGCAGCATGACCTAGTTCTGATGGACGCGCGCAACGAAGCGCCTCCCCTGGTGGTTGGATGGAGTTTGTTGGAATTAGTAATGAAATAATGAGACTACGTGGTTCTACTGAGCCCCCCAAACTAGGGAAGTTGCCGTTGTAGTTCAGTTCACGTGATCACAATCGAATCACCAGAATCAGAGCCTTTTATGAACTACTGAAATATTGCAGTAACAGCTATCACAGGATTTGAACATCCATTCGTAATTTTGAGAATAGATGCCGTGATTCACTAATTTCTCACTAAGAATTTCTGATTTAGTTTCTGATTCAAGAGACCTTCGAGAATTAGTGTAAAGGATTGCAAGAGTTATGAATCATTCTAAGCCTCAGTGAAAAGTTCTTCCTGCCAGCAGTGTTGTCGACCAAAAGCAGGCTCACTATGAGAACGTTCGAATTTCACGGTAGGATTCGCAGAACAACGATCACCCTACCTGAATGTATTCTGCCTCCCTTGTATGGCTTCCGAGACCTCTTTCATACTTCTCTTGATTCGAAAGACCGATGTGTGTAGATCGGAGCGGCATACGTGGATCACTGCTCACAGTACTGCCAGGTTGCGTGGTACTTCTCTAGTATGTACCATGAGCACCATGAACAATGAAGAATCTTTCGGGACTGATGGGACGTGAGCTGCTCTTCTGATTCTCAGGGTGCATAAAAAGATAAGGCCTCCCACAACCCCCCCCCCCTACCACCCTTTCCCCTTCCACTACCCCCTCCCCTTTCCATAGAATCGTTCTTCTTTTGAGCAATTAAAAATAAAAGCTCATTACAAAAGTAATCTAGTAGCAGGGCAATGAATTATTTTACAACTTGACAAGGAACCCGATTAGAAAGGCTTCTAAACAGGCGCAGATCCCTCACCTCACACTAATCGCAAACCTCCATATGTTCTTGAAAAGCAGGGTTTTGCTCTTGAATATGCTCTCCTGAAGTAGTGAACCTATCATGATCTCCACTTAAAATCAACGCTCAAACTGCTAGGGAGAGTCCATGTTTGGCATTTTTTAGTTGACACTAGTTGGCGCAGGTAGCTCTTTCGCTCAGTGTAGCACCTATTTGATCGCTGAAATAAGCAAACAGACAAGCAAAATGCGATTCTGCAGTGAAATGGTTAGCTGTGGAATTTTATAGACTGAATCCAGCCAATAAAAAAGGAGCAAAGAGTGTGACTGGCCAGACGACAACCGACGTGACATCGAAGACGAACACGTCATCTACGAGTTCGAGCTCAGCCTCTCCACCAACGGAGACCCCCACAACAGAGACGCCTACCAAAGAGACTGTTAAGTCTTCAAAGGAATCATCAGTCGAACAGCAGACGGACGAGAATCAAGATGGTAATGGTTGAAATCCTTCAATTTCTATCTTCTACGCATGTGTTATAATTTTTTCTGGGAACAATATTTTTCAGTGGTAAGCGCACTGCTACTGGGGAGTTTTGACATCTCCAATATCACTAAGAAAGTGGAAGAGGAGTTCTCTTCTTCTCTGGACGATGCTCTGAACAGGTATGTGTTAGGGCTTAGTTCTATACGCACACAGCAAAAGAAATACATAAAAAAAAATCGGTACTGTTTTGACTGTTTCATATTCCGAAGAGTCATAGAGCACTTCTTCAAGTGAAATTCCCAGCGACTTTAAGAATCCTAGAATGCCCAGTCCAAGTCGGATTGAAAAGGGTGGAAAACTGTACCCATACTGTACTGTACTGTACTGTACCCGCTAAAAAAGCATCATGTCGTACAAGACGACACGATATCTTGATTAGGTTATTCTCAAGTAGTCTAGAACTCGCTGTGGCATTACAACCATTGCTGGACAAATTCCGATTTCGCTTCAAAGATGACATTAGTACGGTCGAGGACGTTTTTGAAGACGTTTAACCCGCCTGTTCAAAATTTAGATCCAATTCAGACTTCAGAAGCGATAGTCCAGATTAGTGCAAAAGTGGTGAAGAATACACGCAAATTGAAGAGAAGTACAAGGTTCTCAGAAAAGTAGCACAGATTAGGGCTGGACGAAAATGTAACGACAAAAGCTGGGGTATTTGAACGAGCTATCTAGTTGTGTATGCCTTGTGTACAGCTGGCTATAGAGAGCTGCCTGCGTGCAAGGTGGGTATCCGTGCGCGAATGGTGCAACCTCTACGACTTCTACAACGCCAAGAGAACTGTTCCGTTTCCGTGTGCGGGGCTAAGCCGATTTTAGGGCCCTTGTTACCCAACCTGGATCATCGACAGGGTCCCCAATGCTTTTTGGCAGTCGGATACAGGTGAATATTAAGGAGAAATCTCTGAAACCATTTTCATCCGGAACTGTGCTTCTAACGAGAGCGGAAATTCGGCTAACTGGTACTTCACCGTGACCATATGTTACGATACTCACTGCGGTCGCCCTGTTCGTCTATTCGAGGCCAGCTAAGTGTGAAATTTGAGAGGGGATGACCCTCAACTCATTATCAGAGGCAATTGTATGTCACTGTCGGGTGAAGAATACACCGAGAAATCGCCTCTGATTGAGTCAAATCAAGATCACTCCTAAAACAGTACAGCTATTTGCCTGCATTCAACTTGTAATAGAGCTCTAAAGTGCTTTCATTTAAAAGGACAGTGCTTTGGATTGATGCTAGCTACAAAGCAGAGGACTTCAAGCTTAACGTCTCAGCACTACCTGAGTGCCAAGCATGGCAGAAGTTTTGGAGCATCAACTCCACCGCTGAAGAGGGAAAGGTTAGAATTCAGCACTTTTGTAACTTGCCAACTAACCTACTTCACTGACTAGCTTGGTTTTCCAAAAACTGCTCTGAGATTTCAGAGCACTAATTCGTCTACGGAGGAAACATCGTCTCTACTTGGGCTTGAAAGCGAGCTGAAGGAAGCCGAGCTGATAGAGGACAAGCAGAAGTTAAAGAAAATAGGATTGAATGTGGAACTGCTGGAGGCGTTCAAGGTAGGTACAGCTTTTCGGAATTAATATGATTACGGTTAAGTTGGGGAGTTGGTAAGCTCTTTCTGAAAACATATCTAAATCCCTTGGAAGCGAAATGTTTGAGGGAAAACCATTACTCTGCTAGAGGAATAAAAGGAAAGTTGACCTTATCTCCACGAAGCTTCGAAGAAACTCTGGGAGAATGACCGAAAGAATTTGTATATGCTAGATATTGCACGTCCTGCAAACGAGATTTGTTAATCGGTCGGGAAAGGTTCATAAGCTACGCAGATATCGGATAGTTAGCATGACTTTTGCTGACCTTCATTGATTGTAACCAATTCCGAAGAACCCATTCCAGCTGACGATGGATCTGTGATCACTACGCTGACGGTCGAAATTCTCGAAGGCACCACCATCTCTCAGCGCACCCAGCAACAACAGTATCATGTAACCGAGCATTCCTTTCACCATTCTACCAGAGCTATACATAGTAGTGTCCGTTTACGAACTCACTAACAGGTGCCAAACCTCTTCATTGAAAGCTCACAATAACCTATGGGAATCGACTGGAAATGAGCAATGCCAAATTTACGATCAATGTTGGCGATTTTGATAGCCAACCCCCATTTGAAGTTGCGAAATTAGGCCGACTTTTTTCCGGCGTTGTTAGCAGTAATAAAGTGGCCTTCGGCTTGCAATTATTAATCACTGCCTATACGAGTTTGGGCAGTGACACTCAGCGAGAGAATTCTGTAGAAGCATGAGAGTGAGCATGCATGACGATCAATTACCCTAACGAGAGTACGTGTCGCCTCTGATCCCAGAAGCTCATGAGGGAACTAGATCTTTGAAGATCAAAAGTAGAGTCCCCGTGCCTACCAAATCCATTTCGCTTTTCTCCTGTTTCCTACGCTCCTTCCTCGTCCCCCGTTGCATTCCCTCAGAGCGATCATCAGAGCAATAACTTGCTTCAATGGCGACTCGCTCAAAGATCCTTGCTCACTATTCCGTGACCACTCAACTTTTTCGCGATCTGAAGTGTTCCCAAAGATGCTGTGAGTCACTACCTCCAAGTGCTGAGGAGATTTTAACAGATGGAAAGATGAGTTCTACACGGATTAGTAGCTCTATGTAGAAATCCAAATGTTTGATAAAGCTTTCTGTTCAAAGGCCGTCGTTAGCTCAACCAGAGGACGAGAAGTGCGGAGTAGAACATAAGCTGCAAGAGAAATTTCAAGAGGTCAGGCGATCATTATCAATCAAATCATCGGTAGCGCTGGCTCAAAAGGGCGAGCTCCGCCCAAGGAAGCTCCGTTTTGCTGAAGTGTCCGAGCCGTGCCTCTGCAAGGGCTATACTTGCAGCCTACTCTAACTGGAGCTTCCGGCTGAACTACAAAGCAGTACGTTACACTGAGGAAGTATTATGGATCGTACAGAATCTTGGCTTCGTGGTTTTCCCTCTCCCCTTTCCTCTTTCCCGACATTTCTTTTAACTTTGCTCAACACTGTAAACAACATCTTGGCGCTTCATCTAGCGAAAGACGCTGTTTACAGGAAGTTGTGGAGCTTAGTACTTGGTGTAAAAGCTGTATTACCTATGGCTCAACCTGATACAACGACACGCGAGGTTCTAAATTTGTAAAAAAGGTGGAGGTCCAGGATTTGTAAAGACGATTCTTCTGCACACGAAGAGGGTGCTATTGTATTCTTAGGCCCATATGCTCCTCTAACTACTCCAAGACAGTAAAGGGGCCTCAGCACACACGTAGGCACCAAAAGCAACTCAATAAACGCGATGCAGCTTCTCGAGATGGGGCCCGCTCTAAGCCAGTTAGAGAGGCATGATCTTACCCCTCTTTTACTCTGAACTTTGCATTATGTTGTTCATCAGACAAATGGCAGGAATTACGGTGAGAGGTTCTCTATCGCCTAACAACTTTTTTTAGATGTTGCCTCTCCCAATTAGATTCTCGCATAATAGTATGAGGGAAAGAAGGCTACATAATAGGAAGGCTGTCCTTCAAAAACTATCAGATTAGTGCAAAACAATATAGAGAACAGGGAAGACTGTTCCCATGATCAACATAAATATCGTATAAATTTTCAACTTTTCAAATTAGTTTTTGCATCAGGCAAGAACGTTCGGAGGACCTGATACGTGGTATTCTCAAACCAAAACAGATTGGGGTCTTACTACATGGTTTCCCAATACTAGGAACTGTAAGATCAATTCTTCTTGCTTTCTTTGAGATTGAAATTAATCTTCAGGCTGTTGGCTTACTATATAAGGAAATCTGCAGAGACCATGGTCGTGTGCTTTGGTATCGCGATACGAATGATGCCAAGAAAATTGGAATCACCGAAACATCCTTGATTTGCGAGCCATTCAAGGTGATTTCTGCAAACGTCATTCCATTCGATATTCTCCTTAGCCTATATAGCAAATTGAGCAGGTCAATAGCTTAGGCGGCATGGAAGCCTGACAGTAATGATACCATTTTAGGAAGAGCTAACGCCGGATGCCGAAAAGCTTGCAATGCTCTCGAAAAAGCTGAACGAGCTCGTTCAAAATTTCACCCTTGGCATCATACCAACTGTCCCAACACTGTCCGACGAAAAACCTATTCCACCTGACGATGAATCTGTGATCACGACCGTAAAGGACGAAATTCTCGAAGACACCACCCTTTCTGAGCGCACCCAGCAACAACATAAGCCCATGTTCGAGGAAGGTAACCTTCCGCACACAGACGCGGACCACTCAACAACGAAGTCTCATGATGCACAAGGTCTGTACTTTTCTCTGAATTGGAGGGATTTTAACCTCCCGTGAATGTGTGACACCGCAACCCCCTCCCCCCTACCGCTTCACCCGCCCCGGTGGGCTTTTTCCGGGGTACCTTTCCCTTGCGTCATATACATATGTGACGGGTGTTTTGGATGTGCTTCAGCGTGTGTTTGCGTTACTGTGTCACACATTCACGGGACGATTAAATCC